TATATATATATATATATATATAACACGAATACGACTGGAAAAATTAACAATCACACAGCGGGGAATTGAAAATAATTTTTAAAACTCAAATAAGAAATATAATCCATATATCACGCATAAATTTGAGTATAATTAATTAAACACGACGATATGAAAACGTACATGTGAGTGGAAACGTGAGTGCAAGCATACTTAACTATACTTCAGATGGAGATGAGTGGTCAGCTTCACGCCCTGGCCATTTCACTCACGGAGTAGGGAGCCGGGTGAGACGTGGAACCGGTCTGGACACTGTGGACACTTTTCCTTAATTTGATAAAATTAAACTTAACGAGAAATCACTTTGCTAGCTGTGTGTGTGTGTGTGTGTCTGTGTATTTATCTCCACTTCTTCGAAAGCCTGAACCAATCTTCATGGAAGCTGGTATGTATATCATGCCTCCAGATGTCATCCTAACAGGTTACTTCGTAAATCTCTCTGCATTAACATAAACACTGTATTATTTAATTTTTTTTTGGTACTAGGATATTATTCTTCTCTTCATCAGAGCGACAGCTGTATTTGAAATAAAAAATTCTTATGCAGATAGATTATTAAATGTGTAACAATTTTTTTTTTGCAGTGGCTAATGGCTACATTATAATACTTCTTCTGGAATTCGCTAGCATACCCTACTTGAGTCACATATCATGTGGGTAGTAAGTTGCACGAGTATGCGCAGGTGTTCATGCGCAACAAGTCACCTTAAGAACTGCTAAGTTTTGTTAATTAGGTCCTAATAATAGACAAAAGTGAACAAAGAGCACATAAGCCAAAGTTATTTATTTGTGACTTATTTAGCGATGCTGTGAGTAGCTCAAACTTTATAACGTCGAATAATAGGTCGACTGATGAATATTAAATCGAAAGAATGAAGAAGGAAGAGGCAGGCGGTAGCGTAGTTGGTTGAGGCACTATGCTACAAGACGGAAGGTCTCGGGTTCGATCCGGATGAGGTCATTGGATTTTTCAATTGACCTGATCCTTCAATCCTCACTATGGCCCTGGTGTCCACTCAGCCTCTAACAGAAATGAGTACCAGGAATCTTCCTGGGGTTAAAAGTGAGGCCAGCTCTTAAAGCTGACAATTTCACCTCCATCTTTGAGTCGGTTATCTAGAAAATGTAGCCACGGAGTCACACAGCTAAGTTTAATTTTCCTTCTTCGGTTGGTTTTAGTGGCTCAGAGATACTAATGGGAAGAATTAAGGGGAAAAAATCCGCTATGGCCTGTGAGTATGAGCCATAAAAACCGTCCCCACCAAAGAGACAGCTGCAGTTCGTCAACCTCATAGGGGATGACGTCATTACTACCTGTAACATGTGACCTAAGAAAGTCACAGTTACTCCCACCCGCCATGCCCTACTTCTGCCTGACGTAGGAACAGGTGACTAAAATATTGTGTACTTAATGATATCTATATAATCACACTTATTTAGTGTCATAATTATTTTTGCTTCTGTTAATCAAAGTGCGCAATGCATTTTGGCTCCGTATCGATATGTGTACGAAATAAACTGTTTTTGACGAGAGAGCTCGCTGATAGCAAAACCGACAGTCAGGAACGCGCCGTGCGCAGGCGGGAATATGTCCGCATATTTCTGCGTTGTGTTCTGCGTGCGGAGGAGTCACAAGACGAGCTGATCTCCCGTATGAGATATCCTACCAAATATAAAATGNAGATAATTAACATATATTAAGATTATAAATTTTTATAAAACACAAAGTAACATATAAAACAACATTTTAAATAATTCTTTAATCCGACATATTTCAGCAATATATTGCCATATTCAGGGGCGTTCAGTTGTAAATGTAAGCTTTACGTGACGTAATTAATGTCAATATGAAATATTATAATTTTCTACTGATTGAGACACTATGCCACAAGCCGGAAGATCACTGTTTCGTTTCCCGATGATGTCATTCTATTTTCATTTGATCTAATCATTCCAGCCGCACGATAGCCCTACGTTCGATTCAGCCTCAAACAATAGTACCAGGAATATTCCTGGGGGTAAAGGGCGGCCGGCGCATAAGGCTGACAACCTCACCGCCATCTGTGAACTGATTGTCTAGAAAATGTGGAAGCCTCGATGTCTCACAACCCTATGGGCCTCCACTGCATGTTACAAGGATAACATTACCTTTTTACTACTGTAATTAAAACCGGCAAGAAAAAAGAAGACATTTAAATACTGAAATAAATTTTTCGTGACTAAGAATACACAACACATAAGATCATTCCACAGGTAAAGGTCAAACAGATGACAAAAAATTCGAATAATGTTGGTTATACACCCGAACGCTTTTCACAGTATGTTACACTGATCGGCAGTGTATAGGAATAATACATAAGAATTCAGTCCGTACCTCACAGGAAACAGATCCGAACCTACGATCCCGGCTTCCGAGAGAGCGAAGATAGTGCATGCCTTAGACCGCTCGGCTACCGTGTTCTACATGTCACCATATACCCCAGGGGAATGCAGTTACATTTCGGAGGAAAATACTGCCTTTCCCCCATCAATTTTCGTTCCCGAGGTAAAAGCCAAGCAAGAAACCAAGTTGTATCAGATGTCATTACAGGACTAAAAGACGTCACACCCCAGAAGACAGGCCTGTTCATAGTCACGGTTACGAGAACATCTAATCTAACACGCACGCACAAGCACACACACACGAAGACTTGTTCTTAAGTCGCCTTTGCATACGCCCAAGATTGTTCGAATTTATCTCATTGTAGCATGACAGTCATATCCGACTTGATAAGTAACTTTCCGATTTTCATTAAACTCGGTCCGAAGGTCATACCATTCAAAAGCTGCCTCATTATGGCACCAGCGTCGGGCGAGGGACATGGTAATAATATTCCACAAATTGTGTCCTTTAAAATGGCGACAGCACGTGATTTTTTTTTTATTTGTGGCTCTCACAGTGGTCACTGTGAAGAGTGCTATATCCTGGAATGTGATGACTGGCTTTGCTCACTCTTCGACCCTGAATATTGAAACGATAGTTTTCTCCGAAACTTCAGTGAACTTCCACCTGACTACATTATAAGAATACAACACTGCTAGCGGCACGTGAATTGTGTGTGTGCACTTGAGTGTGCTGGTATCCAATGGACGCCTATAGCAGATCTATGAAATTGGATACAGTAAAAGTTACAAGAGTGTTTACAAACGCCATATGAAACCATTTTGTTTGCCGTCACTATGGCAGGGTCTTGATATTCTGTGGTTGCCCTTTAAGGTCAATATATAGAGGAACGCAGAAGGGGTACAAAATTTCTCTTACAATTAAGATAGAATCGTTGTTGACATGAATCAGCAGTTCAAAAAAGAATTCCGGCGCTTATAAAACCCCGTATTTCATTGTTGTAATCAAAAGAGCCCCTGTTTTGGCCCAGTTGTACCCCAGCTATAGTCCACATTCTGAGACCCTAACACGCATGTATACATATATATATTTTTCATGTATATGAGTGAAGAGAGGGACATAGACTGAGGGTGTCTGAGAACAGGGTGTTGAAGAGAATATTTGGACCGAAGAGAGATGAAGTAACAGGAGGTTGGAGAAAACTGCATAATGAGGAGCTTCATAACTTGTACTCTTCTCCAAGTATAATTAGAATGATCAAGTCAAGAAGGATGAGATGAGCAGGACATGTAGCACGAATGAGGAGAAGCGTAATTTATATAAGATATTGGTGGGAAAGCCAGAAGGAAAGAGATCACTGAGAATACCAAGATGTAGGTGGGTGGACAATATTAAAATGGATCTTATAAAGGAATGGTCTGATCCGACATGTCGAAACCTGCCCTGATTTTCTTCTTCACTGTAAGAGTACACACAACAAAATCCACTGTCAAAATTTTAGCTGCTAATATGAACTGCAAGTATTTTTTAAAAATTGCCGAAATTAATATTTTTTTCTGTACGCGGAACCGCTTGTAGCAGAGGGTTGTACAACCCCAGCCTAGGCTGTGAGTTAGGCGTGCTGCGTGTTGCGTACTGCTCTGCTAGGGGTGGAGATTCCTCCAAGGGTCTGGCAGGCTACAATATTGGCCATGTTCAGCAATTTTTAAAAAATACTTGCAGTGCGTATTAACAGCTAACATTTTGTTGTGTGTATTCTTGCAGCGAAAAAAAAAATCAGGACAGGTTTCTACATGTTAGAGAGATAGAATGGGACGGTATGGATTGGGATGATATGGCTCAGGATAGAGACCAGTGGAGGGCTCTTGTGAAAACAGTAGTGAACCTTGGGTTCCATAAAATGCTGGCAAGTTCTTGAGTACATGCACAATTGGCGGCTTCTCAAGAAGGGTTCAGTTCAATGTGTAAGTGATTATCGCTATAATCTGTCACGACAATTCTCAATGTAAGCCAACATTCAGTAGGCATCCTTATGGGATAAAAACAGCGTGGGTTAAAAATCATGTCAATATGACAATTTTGGTTACCTTCACCGCGAAATTAGGATATAGTACATTTCTCATGATGACGCAATAATTTGCATCACTGACTGGCGATGACGTACCTTCAGAGATACCTTAAGACACTGATAGGACCTCAATATTTGTCTTCTCGCTTCTTCAGACCGCCACAATGGAACGCGAGGACGCGAGGTCAACAGAAGGGTTGCTGCCCAACCATGATGGTGCAGAGTTGATGGATGAACTGATACAGCAAGTGGATGCTGTGGGCGGCTTCCAGAAGCTCTTCAACGGTCTCTTCAACTTCTGTGCTGTAGCGGTTGGTGTCACGAGTGTGTACACTTTGGTTCTTGCAATGGAAGTGCCCGACCACTGGTGTTACGTACCTGGAAGAGCATCAACTAATTTTAACCCATCGGAATGGAAAAATCTCACATTACCAAGGTGTTGTATCTTAATCACCTAGCGGTGTGTCTTAGTATTCAGGAGGTACTCAGTTCGAATCTCGCCCGTGACAACTACTATTTTCAGTGAGAAATTTCGTGGTTTTCCACAGTATCTTGAGGTAAAAGCCGCAGTATGACCTCATGTAGTCAATAATTTTATTCTTCCAAATGCTATCAATTCATCGCATACATTTTATCCTGCTATACACAGAGTGTCCCATGAGGAAAGTAAGTATTCTGGGAGGTAATAGTATCGGCCATTCTAAGCAAAAGAAGTATATATATGTACGTTTGTCGTATTCCGAACGATTTCCTAGAGAGAGTTATTCCACTGTACAGTTCCAAAACTGTTGATAAGAAAGAGATATTGCGTACTGTTTCTAGTGCCGGTATTTATTGTTCAGGTGATAAAGTTGGTACAGTTTACCTAGTGTAATGAAAGCAAGAACTCAGTGGCCTGTAGTCCGTAAGCGAACTATACCGACCGAGCGACCGCCGCTTGTGGCTGAAGTTAGTACCAACTCTTTGTGGATAGGGGGTGTTACGTGGTCAGCGCAACGGATTCCCACGGCCGTTAATTTCGGTTTTCTATACCGTAACTAGTAAAATACATTTTCGAAAATTCCACTTCAGCATCAGTGCACTTTGCAACTCGTGTGGAGACAGCATGCAGCATATCAGTACATTCGGAATTTGTGAAGATGTGGAGCATGTTTCACAACACTCCTACAATGTCAGTATCAGCAGTCACAACGGCCAACTGACGCCGTACATTAATTCACATGCGGGAGGGAAGGACGATATTGGGCGCCAAACCCAAACTACTGTACAGTGAAATAGCTGTATCTCGGAAACCGTTCAGAATAGATAACATGTACATAATATAAATTTTGCTTATAATGACCGATAATACCATCTCCCAGAATACCTACCTTCCTTCCTAGGACACTCTGTATATATTTGGCGTTGTTATGGAAATATTGACTGACGTAATAATTAGATATACAGAGTGACTAAAAATCTGTTATCGGTTTAATAAAATGTATACTACATAAATTATAAATTACTTTATTACTCACTGAATTAACAATAGTTATTCGAAATTATATCCTCCGTGTTCTGTGCTCAATTCACAATGCTGTAATGCTGTTCTATAAGTTGAAAGGCTGGTTTAAGTGCCAAAATTCCAGTTAATACGAGAGAATATTTTAGGTTAACTGACGTTCATGCCACAATGTCTATATTTAAGAATTACGTGACTTCAATGCTGAAAGTTCTTTCCCTTCCACATTTCAGGGGCAGGGGCAGTGAGGAAAATAATGCCTACAGCAAATGTGAAATGTACAACTTAACAGGGCCGATGATCTGGGCTCGTAATACAAGCGGCGTCAATGTTACCAGTAAGTAAACTGTCCCTCTGCGTGATTTAGAGGCAAGAATTTGAAGGATGAAAATGGTTTAAAACAATCAACATCAGAAATTTAGTCTCTTCCATGCCACATAAGAAAAACGCATTCCATAAAATATTTACAGTCGTGGTCTGAATTTATTAGATTCTAAAGGGTTCTGACAATGGTATACAACACTTAGATTTATTTTTTTTTTTACTTTTCCATCGTCCGGTATTCTAGAGACTAGAAAACACGATATTTCGGAAACTGGATCTGTTTTCTGTTGTCAGATTAGCGTAAAGGGAAGACATCTTCTCATTTGGGTCCCTCAGAAAGAGCTCTTTCTGAGGGACCCAGTAGAGTAAGTGTCTTCCCTTTACCCTAAGAGAAATGAGTACCAGGAGGTAAAGGGCGGCCGGCTCGTAAGGCTGACAACCTCACTTCCATCTGTAAGCCGATTGTTTAGAAAATGTAGGAGCCTCGACGTCTCACAACATTATGGATCTCCATGGCCTGTTACAGGGGTCGTTTTACCTTTTCTTTTTACGAGTACCTTGTGATATTTGTGATGCTTGTAAAGCCCTCTTCCTCCGCTGATTACTTGTCACGTTGCAGGCTGTCAGTATGGGTGGGAATACGACCGGAGGTGGTTTTCCAGAACAGTCCCTTCGCAAGAAAACTGGGTGTGTGACAAAAGTTTATACGTCACAAACACTTTCGTTGCCACGCAGATTGGAGAAGCCGTGGGCACCATCTCGTTTGGACATATGTCAGACACGTAAGCTTACTGCATCACTGCCCCCGTAGATATGGACACTTCATAATATCCTATGTGTTTCTCCAGATGATTCTGACAGTTGTCTATTCATTCTACAGATATTATTCTGCGCATTGCTCTTTGACTATGGTATTTTTCTCATCGGTGTTATCTGTGAGTTCATTAACTAGCAATGGCCGCTGTTTAGAGAGCCATTACTTAGAAGCAGCTGTTGTATAGCTGCTTATTTTGTAGTCGTTTCCTAGCAACGGGTCTACATACCATAATATATTTTAAAAAGTCGGAAACTGTATTAGATTCCGTCATTATGTGTAAGGTGAAGTCAGCTGGGTCCGTTAGAAGGAGCTTGTCTATCGCTATTATGTTCCAGTAACTGCATGACAGAATTTAGCCATAAATATACAAATTTTTAAAAGTCCATCTTCCAAGACAAGCTTTCTTTACCGGGCCAACTGAGTAGATACTATACCTCCTACACCATAAGAAAAAATAGATGATATATTTTGAATATACCTCCTACAATGGTCGGCATAGTGACTGGCTAAGGGATGGGCGACCGAGTGTTTGGAGTTCGAGCCCCGGTAGTGACAAGTATTTTCTCCTCACCACGTCGTCCAGACCGGTTCTGGGGCCCACCCAGCCGCGTATCCAATGGGAAAGGGGTTCTTTCCCCTGAGATAAAGCAGCCAGGGCGTGAAACTGACCACTCAACTCCAAATAATGCGGACAAGAACATATGGATCTATACATCCACTACCCCATACACCTTCATGGCGTAGTGCTTAATTAGTTAAGCAAGGGGCATCTTTACCTTTACCTTATGTACAATAGCTAACGCCCGGCATAATATTTGTATTTTCTGCCTTCACACAACAAACTTTGGTTTGATTGAAACTATTGAAGTTAGTAGAATAATTATTTAATTTGTTTATTATAGTAATTACACTACATGTTTCAATCTAACTGACCATCATCAGGAATGTGTAAATGAACAATGAATATATTATTTAACTGCTAAATAATATGATTAAAATGGATGTACTTTTCTCTGTTTCTAAGTTAAATGTTTTTGTGTTCGGTGTGAATATATGAAGATTATTTTAAAAGGGCAAGAATTTTTAAAAATTTATTTATATACATAACATAAATGTAAAGGGGGTAATTTTAGGGTGTAGGTGGTGGTGATTCGCTGTAAATTTTTTGAAGATATAAGTAGTTATGGGTTTTGTATAACTTAATATCATATTTGTTTAATGAGGTGCAATGGTCAATCCCGACTTAAAATTAATTTTATGTGATTAATCAACCCTTCTAAGCTCAATACAACAGCATGCTTCTTCAGCCTTGCGCCTTACCCCACTCTCTTCTATATGGGTGGAATTTTGTATTCGTACTCCCGAAAAAGGGAGAATAAAAAGGATCAATTATTAACTAAGCCCGTAAGCAAGAACACTGGCAAGTATCTCAGCGTTATTCTTTGTCTTAGTCCCATTTATACAGTACGTTCAATTAAGGAGGAAACTTCGCAACACCGCTGATCCGGCCCAACATTCCTCACAGATTGCTGCTCTAACTGCTGATAGCAGAATGAGTCGTTAACGCTGAAAAACGCACGCCGTTACAGTTACAGGAGCAATCTGTGAGGAATATTGGGCCAGGTCAGCGGTGTTGCGAAGTTTCCTCCTTGATTGAACGCCCTGTATATAAAAAATTTTGTACTCATGTCCATGTAAAAGGAAATTTAAAAAAAACTTAGTGTCAGAGGTATTCAGTAAGGTCAATAGAGGCCATTAGAATTTTCAGTTTACTTAATCCTTCCAGCCGCACTATGGCCCTGGGGCCGACTCAACCTCTAACAGAAATGAGTAACAGGAATCTTCCTGGGGGGTAAAGTGGAGAGCAATAAATTCAACTGAAGGGTTGTACCATTTCAGTGAACCTGTAGCGAGACTTACTTACTGTGCCGAGGCCAATTAAAGTACAGTACATGATAGAGCTGCAATTATGTTTCTCTCTCTTAGCATAGGCCGGCGACCTGTGTTCCTTTTGGCGCTCACCCTGCTGATTGTGGGCCGCGGGTTATCCGTAGTGGCGGCTCCTCATTACTACCTGTACCTCGTCACAGTCTTCATCGGACACAGCTCTCTGTCGTCCCTTTGTTTTGCTGCCACCACCACCGGTAAAGAAAACGTAACTCCGGGTGTGATTTTCCAGAGCATAAGATGTACGTCACCAAGGATGTGACGTAATTGAATCGCACGCAGACATCAAAAGGGTAACTGGCTAAGATAGTTCTAATCAAAGGGTAACTGGTTCAGCAAGTCGTGATCAGAAGGGTAATTGTTTCAGAAAGTTGTGATCTTAAAGGTAACTGGTTCCGTAAGTCGTGATCAGAAGGGCAATTGTTTCAGAAAGTTGTGATCTTAAAGGTAACTGGTTCCGTAAGTCGTGATCAGAAGGGCAATTGTTTCAGAAAGTTGTGATCTTAAAGGTAACTGGTTCCGTAAGTCGTGATCAGAAGGGCAATTGTTTCAGAAAGTTGTGATCTTAAAGGTAACTGGTTCCGTAAGTCGTGATCAGAAGGGCAATTGTTTCAGAAAGTTGTGATCTTAAAGGTAACTGGTTCCGTAAGTCGTGATCAGAAGGGCAATTGTTTCAGAAAGTTGTGATCTTAAAGGTAACTGGTTCCGTAAGTCGTGATCAGAAGGGCAATTGTTTCAGAAAGTTGTGATCTTAAAGGTAACTGGTTCCGTAAGTCGTGATCAGAAGGGCAATTGTTTCAGAAAGTTGTGATCTTAAAGGTAACTGGTTCCGTAAGTCGTGATCAGAAGGGCAATTGTTTCAGAAAGTTGTGATCTTAAAGGTAACTGGTTCCGTAAGTCGTGATCAGAAGGGCAATTGTTTCAGAAAGTTGTGATCTTAAAGGTAACTGGTTCCGTAAGTCGTGATCAGAAGGGCAATTGTTTCAGAAAGTTGTGATCTTAAAGGTAACTGGTTCCGTAAGTCGTGATCAGAAGGGCAATTGTTTCAGAAAGTTGTGATCTTAAAGGTAACTGGTTCCGTAAGTCGTGATCAGAAGGGCAATTGTTTCAGAAAGTTGTGATCTTAAAGGTAACTGGTTCCGTAAGTCGTGATCAGAAGGGCAATTGTTTCAGAAAGTTGTGATCTTAAAGGTAACTGGTTCCGTAAGTCGTGATCAGAAGGGCAATTGTTTCAGAAAGTTGTGATCTTAAAGGTAACTGGTTCCGTAAGTCGTGATCAGAAGGGCAATTGTTTCAGAAAGTTGTGATCTTAAAGGTAACTGGTTCAGCAAGTCGTGATCAGAATGGTAATTGGCTAAGCAGGCTGTAATAAGAAGGGTAATTGTTTCAGCAAGTAATGTTTGAAGAGTAACTGGCTCAACAGGTTTTTAATCAGAAGGGTAAATGTTTCAGGAAGTTGTGATGTTAAAGGTAACTGGTCCGACAAGTAGTGATCAGAAGGGTAACTGGCTCAAGAAGCAGTAGCCAGAAGGGCAAATTCTAAGCGGGTTCCGGCTCAGATACCCTTCCCAATTACAGGACACATCCCGTGCCAGATGTTTTTAATAAAGGCCCTCAAGCCAATTGTTCCTATTTCCTCATTCACGGACCTAATGATATACACGTAAACTTCAGAAAGATTATAAAGGGATGGTCACTGGACGTGTGAAAACTTTCAGTTGCTAACTTCTTTCACAGTATGTAGCAGATTGATTTGTAGGATTGGAAGGAACGTCGGACGGACTTAATTGTTGTTCTGTATTCAGCAACCAACAATAGTCTACCGAGCAGCAATCGATTTTGTTTCCAAGGTAACGTAATCAAGGCTAACCCTATATGTGAAATGCATCTTTGTAACAATTGTTCACGAAAATTTGTTTTTCGCGTTAGTGATTCACTCAGACTGTACTAGGTGCTCCAGGAATATGTGTTTCTGCAGGTATAGAGCTGTCTTCCGCCGAAAGCAGGGCCAGAGTTGTGATGCTGCAGTCACTGGGCTGGACAGGAGGAATGTGTCTCGTACCGCTGGTGGCCTGGCTTACAGGCGATTGGGTCAGCTTCGTTCTCCTGCCTCTCTTCCCGGCAGTCGCCATCTTAATCTGCGCCCAGAGGTAGAACTGCAATGTCATTTGCCGTCTCCGCTTTATGGAACGGTTCACATTAATTCTTATGAGATTTGAGCTTCTGATTATGTTTACGTGTTACCTTTTTGTAGTCTGGGGCCACCCACTTCGAAATGACCTGAGTGAAAACAACAAAAACTAACTTATATTTCCTGAATCTAATGTTACGGTGGGTTCTCAAAGAATAAAAATAATTCAATACAATTTTTTTTTTCTGTTAACAAAAATTCATTAATTGTGTGCACAGAGGGGCACAAATCGGGAATTTTAAGGCTAACGCCACCCAAACAGCGTTTCAGAAAAAAGAAATAGTTTGACATAATTAATAATAACTAATTACATCAAACAGGGTTCTTATTGGGAAGCTAACAATCGCCCAGAGAGTCTGGAAATTCCCTGAAACTTAAGGAAGCCTCATATGCTGTATTGTTTCCCCCCAACCAAATCCGCCATTAGTATTTATTCTGAGTCAGATAAACCCACTCCAAGTCCTCTCACCCTCTTCTTTTAAGGTCAATTTTAATATTTTCCCCACATATGCAACTACACCTTCAAAGTGCTCTTTAAATTGGTTATTTAATAACTATATAGACTATAGAGACTATGTACCTCCGACGATAGATTCCCTAATGAATATGGAGCATAATGAGGAGCTTCATAACTTGTACTCTTCTCCAAGTATAATTAGAATGATCAAGTCAAGGAGGATGAGGTGGGCAGGTGATGTAGCACGAATGGGGGGACGAGGAATGCGTATAGGATATTGGTGGGATAGAGCCAGAAGGAAAGAGACCACTGGGAAGACCAAGGTGTAGGTAGGTGGACAATATTAAAATGGATCGTAGAGAGATAGAATGGGATGGTATGGATTGGATAGATCTGGCTCAGGATATGGACCAGTGGAGGGCTCTTGTGAACACGGTAATGAACCTTCGGGTTCCATAAAATGCTGAGAAATTCTTGAGTAGCTGCAGAATTGGCGGCTCCTCCAGAAGGGCTCAGCTCCATGAGTAAGTAAGTAAGTAAGTAAGTAAGTAAGTAGGTAAGTAAGGGAAATAGAAGTAATTCGAGAAAACTTGCTTAAGTGTAGGTTTATCCAATATGAATCCCCCATATACTGATATGCGTCCAACCATTTTTCCTTAAAATTTCCCTACCCAACATTTTTACCTTTAGTTATTTCTCTGTTACAAGTGCTACATTTCCCGCCCATCTCATCCTCCTTGATCGGGGCATATTAGTGAAGATAACAATTATTAAAATTTCTCATTGTGTAATTTCTCCGGATTTCTGTTACTATACTTCCTTCTTACTTCCAAATATTCTCTTCAGCACCCTATTCTCAAACATCCCCCGTCTCTTTTGTTCCCTAATGTGAGAGCACATGTTTCACTTCCATAAAAATATCACTGTATTTAATGGAATTGCACAGTGCATTTGGCAGTTGCGACATATAATATTTGTGCTTACCTACAGTTTATTCCCGGAGTCGCCCCGATGGCTGGCGAGTGGGGGAAAGATCTTACGGTGCATGAGGTCCTTAAGGTACATCGCCAGGATAAACAAGCAGCTCTTGCCGGCTAGTGCTGAGGACACCTTGCGCAACTTTGCGGAGCAGAGCAAGGGCGTTGTGTACGGCCCGGCCAGCTTCATGTCTAGCGTGAGACTAGCCACGAACACCGTCCTCCTCGTCATCTGTTGGTACGGACACATAAACACTGACCCTATAGCTCTACATGTGTATCTGGGAGTCGCCACCTCAGCTACGGTATTGAGCCCGAATTTCGGTGGGTTTCTTCTGTCTTCTTGCAAGAATGGCGGGATATTATCTTCAACGAATCCACGATTGTATCATTTGAAATACTGATCTACCCATTATTCATTAACATCTATCGTAATAATACAGAGTGATTCATATAGAACCGGCCCGACGAAATGAGGTGTAATATAAAATATACCATACAGATATTAAATTAATTTACACATATCTTATCTTGGATTGTGCGCGTGATCAGAACAAGTGTTGAAAGTGTCCGCCGTTTTCAAGTAGGCATTAGAAACACTTGCTGTTGAAAGTGTCCGCCCTTTTCAAGTAGGCATTAGAAACACTTGCTGTTCAACAGTGTACTCCATGACTGTCGCCTGCGCACTGCAGACACGTTTCGGCATTGTCCTTGACCTTGAAGCATAAGGGCTGCCACTTGCCGAATCATGCGCACACCATTCGACTGAGCACGGCCAACGGATTATTATGTCGTAATTGTGAGCGGTTATATGCATCACCTGCGGAATTAGCAAATTCATCGGGCCGGTTCTATACGATTCACCCTGTAGAACGCAACGTATTTTCGGTCTTGTCATCAGCTTGTAGGAAAACGTTTTGGACAAAATTTGGTACGCCGATGACAAAAAATTAGATTACGAATGTTATGACATGTACAGATTTTTGTTCTTACCTATTTATTTGGGAAAAACTTATGAAAATGCATGCAAATTTATATGTAATTTGTAAAAAAAATGCAGTATTTAGGTGATAATTTTTCCGTAAAAACCTAATCTTCACAAATTATTTTTAGAACAAATTTATAAAAACACGAATAGAATCCAACAGTCTGATGTAGAAATAATAATCCAGCATTATATTCCTGCAGTACTCGGTTCAAATCTTGGCCATGTGACCAACTATTCTGATTGAGGTTTTTGTCGTATTTCTCAGTCTCTTCAGGCAAATACTGGGATATCTGCTCCACTGGACTACCACGGCTTCCGTCCAGATACTTTCAAATATATCATTCACCAGTCATCCTACCATCGGAAGCGACGTTACCTAGTTACTGACAGAATTGTAAAATATTCCCAAACTCGAAAATGTGGCACGGGAGTTCCTGGGAGTAGAACATCCAAACACTATAATTTGGGGTGATATCGTATCGAACACAAATTCTATCAGTTAGGATGGTGTTCTGTCTGTCACAAACAAATCCTGGGAGTTAGGAAGGTATCCTAGCTGAACACAAGCAAAAACTGTATATTTGGAAATTATCCTAGCGAACAAAAGCAGACACTAGCAGTTAGGACGATATCCTATCAATCACAAGCAAAGACTGTAAATTAGGAAGGTATCCTAGCTGAACACAAGCGGTCACGAGCTTTCAGAGGCAGTAAGCGACTAGTTTCTCCGGAACCGAAGCAAATTGCAGCAAGAAGTACTGAACACTGGATAACTGCTCTCTCGAGAAATGCAGATCCACGTTAAAGAACTGAATTATCGCATATTTAATTGGGTGTGTCTGACTGAAAGCGAATACACATAAAATTTATTGTGATCTGCTCGTTAACCGAGTCCTTTGTAAACCAAATCCTTTGTTTGCTGTACTGCTGAGTGCGGTGTGTTTTTGTTAGGATGCTGAACGCTGCCTCCTACATCATACTGCTACTCAACGTGAACAACATGTCCGGAAACCCGTACTACAATTTCTTCTGGCAGTCTGCAGTTGAGTTCCCAGCCGGATTCGCTGCCAAGTGGCTGAGTGATCGGCTCGGAAGGAGATCGACGCACACCGTCACGTTCCTCGTTGTCGGCGTCTCATGTTTCGGCGTCACAAGAATCGTAAACAGTGAGTCAGTTACTAGCTCCACTGGCCGCGCCATAGCTCAAGAGGTTAGTCGCTGGCTTCCCACCGCGGTGGCCCTGGTTCGATCTCGGGTCTGGTCAAGTGGGATTTGTGGTGGACAAAGTGGCGCTGGGGCAGGTTTCCCCTGCCAATCTTCATTCCACCAACTGCTCCACAATTACCCTCACCTATCATCTGGGGCTGGTACAATAGGCCAGAATTGGCCGCAGTACAAGGGACTTAGTCCCACCCTACTAGAAAAAAATACTAGCTTCACGGTGTATAATCCTTCATGAAAAGCTAATAGTTTCCACCTAGTTTTATAAAAACCGAAGATTCATCGCCTTCTTCACAAGAACTCTCCACTGGTTACTGTCATGAGCCTGATTAAATAACCTCACATCCACCCAAATTCTTTTTATTAGGATCTACTTTAATATTATCCTTTCATCTGCGCCTGGGTCACCCAAATGATGGCCTTACTTCAATTTCTACCGAAATTTTTGTACACATTTCCTTTCTTTCCATTCTTGATGAATGTCTAGTCTCCTTAGCTCGTTCCAGAATTCCATTCAAATCCTGCTTAACTTTTTTAACATACTGTATTTTTAAGCTGAGGAGTTGTTAGATCCCTGACTAACACCCAAGCTGGAGGACTACTCCTTGTCGGCCATACGCGATTATTAATTCAATATATTCACATCTACACTCATTCCCGGAGGACATTTCCTCAGTTCGTAAACCGGGGATGGTTCATGACGTTTTGTCAGAGGACACACTTAACTTGGAACTGTGACTCACAGTCGCATTAAGCACTTTGACTTAAATGCGATTTTAGTCGAACCTGATAATCACTCGGCCTCATGGGCCGGCTTCAAATATGTTTCTAGTTCCTTGAAAATATCGGCATATGTAACATCGATGAATCGATTGATCGATCGATAGTTCGACTGACTACTTAGCTAATTAACTGCGATATTAATGGTAAGACCAGAAGAAACGAGACGAAAATAACCAAGAGACCGGTCACGGTAGCTGAGCGGTCTAAGGCATGCACTGTCTTGCTCGCTCGGAAGCCGAGATCGTGGGTTCGAATCCCACTCATGGCATGGATGTTTTTGTGCTTTTTTCTGTGTTTGTCTACAGGCAGAGGCCTTGCGACGAGCTGATCACTCGCCCAAGGAGTCCTAACGTATGTGTAAGATCTAGAAAAACCGAAGTGAACGGAGAAGTTCATGGAGGTAGGCCTAGGCCCACTGGGGCTGTAGTGACAAGGAAAAAGAAAATAACCAAATAGTTGTGTGGATAATATTAAAATGGATCTGAGGGACATAGAATGGGGGATATGGACTGGATTGATCTGGCTCAGGATAGTAATAAGTTGAGGACTCTTGTGAACACGGAGGTAAACCTTCAGGTTTCATAAAATTTTGGGCATTTCCTGAGTAGTTACACAACTGTGTGCTCCCCAAGATGGGCTTAGGTTCATAAAGTTAGTTTAGGAGAACGGAGGTTAAGCCTCACGAATTCTTAACATTGAAATTAAGAAACTTGTATCAAAATAAAATTGAATGTGAAAGGCGAGTGGATTGTTTTTGTTTTGTTTCAGAACCGAGTTTACACGATCTAAGCACTGCAGTTGTAATCTTCATCAAGTTCTGCATTACCATAACAAATTTCGTGTGCTACCTGCAGGCTATGGAGATATTCCCTACTTGCCTCAGGCAGACTGGAATGTCCTTTGCTAACCTAGCAGGAAATGTGGCAAGTGTTCTCGCCCCTTACGTGGTGTACTTGGTAAGAAAGTCATTCTAACTCTGTAACTAATAACTGTTCCCCTGAACAAACTACATTTGTAGTTTCTTGATATTGTCACGCATTTTGGAGGAGTGACTATAGGCGGGATATAGATTGGATGAAATGGGCTTACTGATTACTTACAGGTCATACTACAAACAACTATACAACTGTCGCGTTTTCTACATTTTACATTTCACTGTTACACTAATGTCCTCAATCAGTTGTAGTCTCCATTATCCGTTTCCTGGCAACGGGTTTTAACATAGGAACTATAATAGCCTCACTGAATTACAGCACACATCCACGGAGTCCTACCATCTTTAAAAGATCATGAAACTGAAAATCAGAGGCCAGAGTCAAAGTGGATTGCAGTGTCAGTGAAAATTTCATAATTCCAACGATACAATTTTTAATTACTAATCTTTTTTAATTTGATTATTTGGTGAAGAGTGCAAATGATGGAGCTCCTCAATACTATTTTTCTTCAGTAATATTTAATATTATCACAGGTAATATCCATCTTTAGCCGGTCACTGTAGCCGAGCGTTCTAAGGCATGTACGGTCTTCGCTCGCTTGGCAAGCGGGATCGTGATTTCGAATCCCGCTCAGGGCATGGATGTTTAGTTTGTGTGTGTGCGTTTTTCTGTGTTTGTATACAGGTTGAGGCCCTGAGACGAGCTGATCACCCGCCCAAGGAGTCCTACCTAATGTGTAACATCTAGAAAAACCGAAGTGAATGGAGAAGTTCATGGAGGTAGGCCTAGGCCCACTGGGGCTGTGGTTCGAAGGAAAAGAAAATATATCCATCTTCACTAATCATGATTCAGTTTTTATTTTTCTTCTTGAGATCACTGAAATTCGTCTTTAATGTTCACAGGGCTCTCACTTGAACCAGAAGTACCCTTACATCGTGCTAGGCTCGATGGCCAGTCTTGGGACTATAGCCACAGCCTTCCTACCAGAAACCCTCAACAGAAAGCTACCAGACAACATCAAAGACGCAAAGTATTTCGGATTAAATCAGAAATTTTGGAGTTTCTTCCAGGAGGCTTCTGCAGACCCACAGCGCATGCGTGTCAACTGAAGCAAAGAAGACAGGAAGCAGTGAGTTCATGCGAATCAGAACTGCCAGTAGTCCTCAGGTATCTTGCTTCTGTAGCATATGTTTTCAAGTTATTTCGTGTAATTGACCGCCTGTAATTTCCGCAGCAATTTCTTTATAAATTTGACATATTTGATCTTCTCGCAGCTGTATTTATTTACAGACTTGTCTTCTAGGCAAAAATGCGACGTAACAATTCAGCTCCTCCTACTTCATGATGGTTTCTTGCGTGACTTACTCTTCAACCTGTGAAGGTGACAATATGAAGAATATTAGCTTCTGGGATATAACACCGTCTAATTCGTTGAAGTAGGTCACGGTAGCCGAGCGATCTAAGGAATGAACTGTCTTCGGTCACTTGGAAGACTGGATCGTGAGTTCGAATCCCACACAAGTGATGCATATTTGGTGTGTGTATGCGTTTATTCTATGTTTGTGTTGTCCTGTGTTTAGGTAGAGCTGATCACCCGTCCAAGGAGTCATATCTTCTGTAAAAATGATCAATGAAACTGAGAAATCAGCGAATCAGTGAGAGCGAAGTGGAAGAAAAAAGCCGTTGAAAATCAACAGCCCTTTTAGGGGAACACATTTCTTCTCATATTTTTTCCATGCTGGTCTCTTGCTTGGTTTATTCTTTGATCGTGAAAATGGAGACGAAATATTCCTCCGAAACGTCGGTTGACTTTTAACGGACAAGGCGTTATATCCCAGAAGAGGGTATTCTTCATAAACTCTGGTGTGAGAACCTTAAGTCCTATGACAGCAACATGATTATCGGAAACGATTGATTTTTCAAAGAAACACATGATGATGTAACCCAAAAATAGAATTCCTCTTTATAAATTCACAAGCAGATGCATTTCGTTGTCTCAATTATCTTCATTGTCTCTTGGATCATGGTCTGTAAACCACTGACTCTTGTCCTGCACCTCTCTTATGTTTCTTATTATCTCATATTTATCTCATACTTATGGAAATAAGACATAATTATTAATAAAGTAGGGGTATAGAATGTAGGGTTATAGGATCCCACTTTACCAGACTCGGGATCGAACCCAGGCCGACGCTGTGGGAAGCCAGAGACTAACCGCTTGAGCTATGGCGCGGCCTGCTTAATTATTAAGAACATGGACAACTTTGCATTTTACAGTATGGATTTTTTGAGTTGTAACTTCGTGTAGTTTTGAAAGAGCCTGAAATTTTGAGGGTAACATGGCGCTTACATCTCCAGAACTGAAGAGTAAGCCTCACAGAAGCAAGATACAGCCTGACTTAATCATTTAGCTTACTTCTGATTTAGTTGACTGATAAAACCCACGAAAAGCGTTAGTTGGAATGGTCGGTGTCCCGTCTTGAATTGTAACCCAGCACCGCCCAAATACGAGGTAAGTTCGGTATCATTAGACCAGCCCGTTCGGAATATAGATGCAAATAAACATGAAATAATGGAAAGTAATTACATAAATTAGAAATTTATGCGCATTTAAAAAAATACAGGAGACTTTAAATATCTGAAAACAGTTATGCAATGTGGATTTAATAAAGCATTGAATTCAAACAGAAATCGCCTATATTTCAACTCCGGTAATGTTAAAAACATACGGAACTAGTAAAATTATGTTTACAAGTACATATATTTCATCTTTCATGGACAGTGTAATGAAACACATCTTTAATTAAACATCTATGTACCACCATTTAACACTTAAGTGTTAAAGTGTTAAATGGTGAATATTTTAATAATAGTTGCATTACTGACGGACTGCGATACATAGACGTTTAATTAAAGATATGCAACAAGATGCTGAAATACAGAATTACGAACACAGCTTTCCAAAAACAATAATTAATACCCATGTTTTGTAAGTCTGTATATAACAAAACATGTGGCTAATTGCAGGATTATTTACATTGGAAATTTTAATGTTTACCCTGAATATCCGGCTGTTCTTCATATTGCAGTAGTTCAAACAACTTGCGGAATATGTGTCACAGCCGTTGCCTCTTGAACCAATTTGTTCCGTTAAACATTTTATTATAAGGAATTTCCTGTACACTTCCACAAAAATGTGTTTATTTTATTTCCGTCACGCGAATATAGGAAAATATAGGTAAATTTCAAAACTTATAAATACAGATTTTTTTATTGTATGAATTTATACATGAAGCCGCAAACCCCCCGGCTTCCTCGATGCACCTACCTGAGTAGTCGCTTTCTGATCATGTTCGCAGCGCCATAAATTTAAAACTATGCACGCAGTCCCACCAGCTGGTTCTGGAGTAATTAAGAAGCCTCGAGCACTTTGTACTGGTAAGTAACATCTGGTGCGAACTCTTCACCATACAACACGAATGTCGTCTGTTTCTGCATTAGGATCTCAGAGAGTATTGTACTGGTGTGCATACATTCCTGTTATTTGAGAAACTTTATTTAGGTGGTGTGGGGAGGAAAATAAAATTTCAGTGACCTAACCTACAACTAGAAAATCGAGATAACGGCCGTGGGGATTCGTTGCGCTGATCACGTGACACCCTAAATCTGCAAAAGTTGGCACTAACTTCGCCGAAAAGCGACGGTCGCTCGGTCGATATAGTTCGCTTGCGTACTACAGGCCACGGAGACCACGCGGCCATTGTAATCGCCAATTGAATGGAACCTTTAACATAGAGTGGTCTTTATATGTGCAGCTTGTTTTGGCGTTGAGGAACTATTCGTTTTGCCTAAGGAGTGGACACCCTCAATTTAAGTTTGAATTGGTTTTAACTCCTGAAGACGAATGCCAGCATAATAGGCCTGAAAGTTGGTCACAGCAAATTCCCTCTGTCCCCATTTCTCATTGACATCACGTGACCTTCGCACTGCTCATCAGTTGTTTCAAGAGATTTTCTTTGTTTCTGGTTTTATCTGTCCCTCACTTCTGATGGAAGTGCAAGACAATAGCACTACTTTCACTTATTATCACATTATTATCTCCTCCACACGTTAAACACAAGTGGGGGGAGGGGAGAGGTGGTTGACAAATAAAATCCTCTTTGGTAAAGTCAGTCTAAAATGTCCGTGTGCATATCAGTAGCGGTTAATGAGGCAGATCATTACGTCATCATTAAAAAGTTGCTAGATTCTTTTGGATTAGAGGCGAATATGAAGAATAGTGCCTTCTTGCATGAGACACCGTGCAGTCCTGTATAGTTCCTTTGAAATTTCCATCTTCAGGGTTTGAAAATTTAACAAATCAAGAGTTACTGCTCATTTCTTGCCGTATTCGCTTATTCTTTACCTTGAAGATGGAGCCAGTATATTCGGTCTAATTCTACCAGGCTACACGTCGTTAAATCCACGAGATAGTACTCTTAACCAGATTAGAGTTTCATCCTACGGTAAAATAGAAATCATCATGAAAGAGATTTGGTTGCTCACTCAGTTCTTCCGTCTTGAGGGCTGATGTATACTCGAGGTGGTTTTAGGCAAAGAATAGCGTTATTGACGCTGAGTAGAGAAGTATGTCGTGGCGTGTATTTTAACAAAGAAAACAAAAACAAACTCCGTGGCCTGTAGTCCGAAAACGAACTATACCGACTGAGCGACCGCCACTTGTCGGCGAAGTTAGTGCCAACTTTTGCGGATAGAGGGCGTCGCGTGGTCAGCGCAACGAATCCCCACAGCCGTTAATCTCTTTCTTTCTAGACGGAAGCCACTGTTTCCTTGAAACAGCTCCTCAATTATCCTCACGTGGCTGAGTGGACCTCGTTCCAGACCTACAACTTTGCGTGTACGTTCAGATTTAAAAAAGAATAGGTTTTATGGGTTACGTTCGTAACTCCGTGTTTCTTATTAGTCCATTTCAATTTCTTCACCTAAGCATTTCATGGTCCATAGTACACACGCAGTGTCAATGAAATGTGTGGCAAATTCCGTTGTAAATGATGCTTTATATACGTTCTGTATTCAAGGTATCGACAAAACATATTGCCTGCAGCTTGGAGTTGAACGTTTGATATCACGTGGTGTAAAACAAATGAAGTGAGATATGCGCAGTAACTGATAAGATAAAGGAAGAGATATAAAGAATAGCTAAATTTTTTGTTATCATATCCTTCATTGCTTTGAGATTTCTGTGTCTACCGAAAGCAGTGAGCTTACACCTTGTGATTCCAAAACACCAAGAGGAGAAGTTAAACTGTTTTATTTTTAAAAAGGAACCAAGTAAGTACTTAAGTGACCGAAAAAATATATTGGTAACTTTACTTTAAAGCCAATTTAGAGAAATCTATATCCTAATTTATAGAAATATGTTGGGGGCTTTAAAAGAAAGTTAATCCACTGACAATAAATGCTTAATGGAAAACATCGTAAGTGGTTTTTCATGGTAATTCGGACAAATCCACAACAAAATTTCCACGTAAGTTATTACGAATCGTTCTGTCTCATTTAGTATTTTAAATACGTCAGAATATATCACGAATATTTTAGTGATTTGGCCATTCTACTCCGCAATAAAGATTCACCACCTCAGATCGTTCATCGTAATGAAAGATGCTTTCGGTGTCGAGACAATATGGCGTCGGAGAGTGAGATGACAGATGAATTGGAAAGAATTTGGAATGAATCGATTGTAACCTGGACTAGGCACTATATCAGCACTTGCGTGGAAGGACAGAGGAAAATCATGAAAAAACAATTCAGGATAGCCAGTAACCCTGCCGAGGTTCGAATCGATAGCCTCACGAATATTGATCTTAGATCGTTACTTATAGAACAACCTATTCGATTATTGTTCCTTTCAATAATACGATACGGTTCGTCACCGTCTTCGGGATCCAAAATTAACCCCAATAATCAAAATACATCTGTTTGTTAGCCGTATTCTTCGAACATGTAGATGGGGATAGCGCTTTCCTCCGAAACGTCGGTGAAATTCTACCGCACTATATAGTACCAAATTCTAAGAGTTGATATTCTCCGTAATCACAACCATGAGAGCAGGAAGAGTTTATGACATTCTCACTACGAGGTTTCTATTTCTCCCTGCAGGACAATTACGTTGTGCCCCTTACTAATTTCATAATATCGTTCTAGTCCGCAAGCGAACTATACCGACAGAGCGACCGCCGCTTGTCGGCGAAGTTAGTGCAAACTTAAGCGGATAGAGTGTGCTGTGCGCTTTCCTCCGGAACGTCTATGAGCTTCTACCGGACTATGAGATGTAACGTAGCAGAAGATAATACTAGTCACAAAATCTGATTAATATAACAAAAGAATAACACTGCCACATATTGTGATAGAGATAACTTATTGAAGAGTGTAAGGGACTAAGTCCAGAACGCATTATCAAGAATCTAGACACGTGTCACAGTGCAGCTTTTATACGTTTCTCAATTACTTTTAGACTGGAAACTTTTGTAATGTTCAGAGCTGATAATCCTTTGTGTTTATTGTTACAAATAGGTTGGACAACCTTGCTATATGTTAGTGACCATGGCGACTCCAATTAACACCAGCAGCCACACTTTGTTGATTCCTGACGGAGGGCAAATCTACAATAACAGTATTCCCCCAAGACATCAGCTACAGCGGAACAGGAAATTATCTATATTACTGAAAATGATACAGCTTGTACGTAACACGTTCCTACAGAAATGGATCTGAATATGCCCCATCCACTGTTGAAACAAAGACACGTCATCATCAGTTGGTGACGCAGACTGTTTTGTCATCATTAGAAAATTATTAATTCTATTTTCAATATACTTCCTTTATACGCCGGCAGGAAATCCAGATATGCCTATACAGCACATTTCTTCCGTAAGGTTGGCAACACAACATGTGACGTGCCCTTGTTCCTAGATTGGATGGAGTACGTGTGTGTGTGTGTGATTACATTGGTAATTTTCTGAAGAATATAAATTAAAACTCATATCCCAAGATCCCGTATCATAAACACCCTCTGCCTCTTCATAAACAGGCATATAAATGCATGAACAGCTTGGCAGTTCATTAACATGTCCATGTATTTGTGAAATTTGTACACCTTATAATGATCAGCACGACTATAATATAAACGAATATTCATAAAAGTAAGTAAAGTAAAGCTATCCCTGTAACAGGCCGTGGAGGCCGATAGGGTTGTGAGATGTTGAGGTTCCCACATTTTCTAGAAAATCGGCTCACGGATGGCGGTAAGGTTGTCAGCCTTACGAGCCGGCCGCCCTTTACCCCCAAGAATATTCCTGGTATTCATTTCTGTTAGAGGCTAAGTCGACTCCAGAACCATAGTGCGGCTGAAAGGATTAGGTCACTTGAAAAAAATCCAGTGA